GACCCGCCCCGCCCCGCCCCCGCGGAATAGCAGAGCTGGAGGCGGCCGGAATTTCTGGTTGCTGCGGGTCGCAAGTCGCGCGGTGGCGGCAGAGCTGAGGTAGCGGGTGGGGACGCCGCGGCTGGGGAAGCAGTGCCGCCAGAGGGCAGGGCAGGCAGTGTTTCTTCCCTAAGGGGCGCCTCGCCTTCCTGCCCATCCTCGGGCAGCCCCAGAGCCCTGCCCCTTGCGCCAGGCGGCGCCTCGCAACCTGGGCAGCGTCAAGGCCCCTCCAGCTCCAACGTTCGCTCCTGTTTCTGCTTGTGGAGGAGTGCTAGAGCCGCTCAGCTGTGGCGCAGCCCCCAGAGAGGCCACAAAGGGGGCGATGGGGTCAGCAGGGACCTCGGGAGGCCATGGTGCAACCCCTGCTCCGAGCAGGACCAGCCCCAGCCCCAGCTGCCTTATCTCAGCCAAGGCTTCGTCTAACCCCAGCTTGAAAACGCCCCCAGGGCTGGAGATTCCACCACCTCTCCCGGTAACCTGCTCCCCGCCTTTACCACCTGCCAGTGTGAGTGTGTTTCCTTTTATCTGAAGTAAACTTCCCTTACCTGCTTCTTGTCCTGACATCCACCACTACTGAGAGCAGTCTTTGGAGCCCCCTTCAGGTAGGGTGACCACCCACCCCCCCCTAATGGGGCGGGACAGCCCCGAAATGGGAACATCCCAATCCTGGGCTACATGACTCTGGGACAGCATTTGTTCCAGATTTGCTGTGTCATTTGGGGATCCGGGTTTTCCGTTCCATGCCCTGCCTTCCAGTTTGGAAAAGGTGGTTACCTGACCTCCAGGTGGTTGAATGCTGCTATTAATCCCCTTTTAGTCTTCTCTTCTCTAGATTAAATAAGCCCAGTCCCATCAGCCTCTTCTCACAAGTCATGTGCCCCAGCCCCCAAACCATTTTCGTTGCCCTCCACTGGACTCTCTCCAATTTGCCCATATCCTTTCTGTAGTGGGGGGCCCAAAACTGGACGAACTCCAGATGTGGCCTCACCAATGCTGAATAGAGGGGAATAATCACTTCCCTCAATTGCTGGCAACCCTTCTGCTAATGCAGCCCGGTATGCTGTTAGCCGCCTTTGCAACAAGGGCACACTTGAAGCACCCGCAGATCTAGGATTCTGATGGGGGTGGGGTGGATCAGAGGGTAAGGTGCATCTTCCCATATAACACAGCACATATGTTTCTCCATTTAAAAATAAACTAGAAGCTTTATTGAGAGGCTGGGGCTGAGGGCTGGATGATTCTGTTTAAGATGGAAGCAAAAATAACTAACTTCATTGGAATAAATTCCAAACCATCTGCAGGGCTGTGAAATCAGAGCTTCCTTACCAGGAGCAGCGAAGAGGCAGCAGAATGGCAGAACAAAGGCCTGCTTGAGCAGTGGAACATCAAGCCTATTAAAAAGAAGAGGGTGATTAACTCCTATGGAATGAAGAGCTGAGAAAAGAGCAGGTAGATGATAATGAGCCATGATGTCAATTGATTCCCTCAGCACTACCTGACTAGAAATACTGCTGCTGCTGCTGCCAGGCAGTTGATTTTAACTATGGGTACAACAGGATTCAAAGGGGTGGGGGGGTTGCATGTGCATCAGTGCATCCTCCCTGGATCTGCCCCTGGTCAGAGTGGTTCCAACATTGTGGTTCAGATTCCTGTTTGAAATCTCTTGGTTTGTTTCATGAATCATATTCACACCTCTAGCACTGCTTACATTGTGCAGCATGCTCCAGCACCCTTAAAAGGATGTCAAAGCACTCTCTAATTGAAAATCACTGTATTAGCCAGTGTATAAACTTACGGAGAATGGTCCAGTGGTTATGGTGCTAGGCTAGCCAGAGACCTGCATTCAATTCCCTGGTCCGTTCAGTGTTGGTAAAATCACTTGCCTTCCCTGGGCCTCGGTTCTCTGTCCGTAAATCAGAAATAAAAGCACACCCTTAATTCATAGCAGTTCTGGGAGGATAACTGCCTTCCAGAGCATGAGATGTTCCTGTACTGCAGTAACAGCATTCATACCCTACATATGTTTAAACAAGTCAGTCTCTGTTCTGCAGATCATATGTTCAAAGGTTACAGGCAAGAGGATAAATCAGGCAGCTGGAGCACAGGGAAATAATGGGACTGTACTGTTGGCACAAAAGGGACCTGCTTACCTGCTGTTGGTGGATGCATGGGATATAACATATATATGACATATTAGCCATTTTGTAGTTCTGGCCTGTATTCCCAAGAATAGAAAATTCCACAATTTCTTTGGGGACTTACCCCATTCCCCCATCAATACAGTATCATCAGGTTGTTCCCTCTGTGGTATATTTCTAGGTCACTTATTAGAGTAGCACGTAAAAGCCAAACAATGATTAAAATTTGTAAAATAATAATGATGTTAGCACAGGGAAGAAAAATATTGAGTGTGTAATTATTGTGCGCCACAGGAGAGCTACAAGGTGCGGTGCCTCCCAGTGTGTAGACACGTGGGATTGTTGGCTATCAGGCAAAGTTTCAGTTTGTTTGGAGTCTCAGAAGAAAAAAGGCAGATCAAGAATTAGAAGACTAACTCCCTGCCTAAAGCTGGCCACTCCTTGTTATGACAGATGTGTTAGCGGGAAATGTGGGACGCTTGTACTGCTGATACCTTTGTCATATCTATTCTGCAGATAAAGACAGGACTTTAGTTTCCAGCTCTGTCAAATCAGCATATTTTGCAGTCTTTAGAGTTATTTTGGAAAATAGAAACAGCCCTCCCTGGCTTAGAAAAAGAAATCAGTTTTCCCTTGGTTGCCTCAGGTTACCCACCTTTAAAATGGGAACAGTAGTATTTACTTGTCTTGCAAAAGGCTTGTAAGGTTTAACAGATATTTGCCATTTGGATTTCCTTCCGTTTCCTTTGAGGTCTACCCTTGGAAGAAACTAGAGAAATGCTTGTAAGTCAGAGTTTCTCTCAGGACCCTGTAGGTTGCTGCAACAGCTGAGAAGAGTTGGAGTGCAGGCCCTTCCTGCTTTGAGGCACCCATTCCCCACCCCACACCTCAGCTGTGAAACTAGGACTCAAGGGTAAGGCATCCTACATGCAAGCCCCAAGCCTGGAGGCCTTGCAGTTCAGATGCTTCCTAGTCTCACTTGCCCCTAGCCAAAAAGCAGAAGGAGCAAGCTAGAGGAAAAGCTAGTGACAGCCATCCTATGTGAAAGCGCGAGGCCCAGGAGACTTGGAGCATGGAAGAGTTAAACTGCAGGATTTTTTTTTTTTAAATAATTTTTCTGTGTTCTAAGCCAAATCAAGTTCAAATCCATGAGTCAGTCCAGAACCATAAGCGGCCCTACAACTAGCAAACATCCCCCACCAGGGGCTTCAGATATTTCCAGTGTCTTTTGGTGGGCATCCTACATGCAGGCCCAAGCCGGGAAGCTTGGGTTTTGCCTGTCCTCAGCTACATGACCACAGAAGCAAACTAGGGAGGATCATAAAGTAGTGGTCTTTAAGCCCCAACACCTCAGTGGGTACTAAACCATGCCAGAACAGCTATCTCTGGGAACGCTTAAGGAAAACTGCCTTCATGGACCCAGATACATGGTGTTTCCCCTGCCAGGTGGATCCCTGGCTTTGCATGGTCTGGGCACAACTGCCTGCCTTAGCAAGCTAGGAGGTAAAGGCCTTTTGCTGCTCCTGACACACTAGAGAGAGACAAAGTTAGCCATGATAGTCTGAAGTCAAGTAGAAGGCAGGGTGGAGCTCTACCTTATAGATCAGTGGTTCTCAACCTTCTTAAACTCAAGGCACCCCTTGTCAGACTTGAGGCACCCCTTTGTAACTACTGTGAATGGAGTGGCACTCCATTTCAAAAACAAATTCATTTATTACAGCTCTGACTTCCTGGCAGATTTGCTGGGAAATGGGGGTGGGGGAGTGGCTGACAGGGAGAGCCTGAACCTGCCTTTTTTTCCTCCTATCTAGAGCCTGCGGTGTCCTTATCTGCTTATCTCCTCACACTTACTGCCTACCGGGCCCTGCACAAACTAATGCATCTGAGGAAGTGAGCTTCAGCCCAGGAAAGCTTGTATTTTATGTATGTATGTATACATATATACACATGTGTGTATAGACACAGACATGCACATATGCACTTATGTATATACATACATGCATGTACACACATATGTATGCATGTATACTCACATATATACACATATGCATGTATACACCAATACATGTATGCATGTATCCAGGAAGAGCACACACCAACTGCATATGCTTCTTCAGCCTGACAAAGGATATTTAAACCTGAAAGCTTGCTGAAAAGAATTTTTCCAACTGTTTGAGTTGGTCTAATCAAAGATTTTCCAAAGAGCTTTGTCTGTATACACACACCCATATATATACACGTATGCATCTATATACACACACATATACATGTGTGCATCTATATACACACACACCTACAGGGTGTTTATGAAGTCCTTGTGCAAATTTAAACCTTAATAACTTTGGATTTACACGTGATAGAAGCAAACTGTAAACAGGGATGGGAAGCATAATTAATTACGTTTTAACACCATACAGCTCACATTTTTCAGCACAACTGCCATCTTTCACGATACATCGTTCAATCTGATTTTCCAACTCATAGAAAACATTTTCTGGGCACTGCTAAGTGGTTTCACGAATCACCTTCGT